TTATCTACCGGGCAGCTGTGGGTATTGACTACAGTATGTGAACGCGAGTGCCGTGCTGTCGTGTGCCTACGTGACGTATGACAAAAGTATGACATGTGCAAGGGCACGATAGCCGTGGAGGAGAGTTGCTATCAGCAGGCCTTATATTTTTCGCAGTTCTATTGTTTGTCGTGGGCAGTTTTAGTCCGTAGAGCCTGTCTAAAACTGATATCTCGCGGTAGTCTGCTCTGTGATGAGCAACGTCTAGTTTCGAGACCCAACCTTTCAAGTACTTGTTTTACTGGGCCTGAACAGACCAGCAAGCTGCTCCATAAGGATATCACGGAGACTCCCGGTGGACCGCTTGGTCGCGCAGACACTGCCTTGGTCCCCGACATCGTGTTCGCCGTCGGGACTGCTCGAAACTGCGCCAATGCGAAGGAAACCCTACTTCGTAGAGAGCCTGCCTCGGACAGTCGACTAGTCTGTCAGTCCCCGTGATGCCTTTATTTTTCTCCGTCTCATATCCTTCGGCCCTTGGCCTGTCAGAATCCTGGTCGATTTCATTTGGCCCGATGTCATTGCAACCTTTATTTCAGCCTTTCCGTGCTGTTCATTGTCCGCGTGCTCAAGTTACGCTTTGCACGACCATTTTTTTTTTTTTTTTTTGGTTCACCTTACACAGCAGTCCTTGCTTTTCTTCTGATTCGTACTTTGCTACAGTTTTACCCAAAAGAGCCAAATTACCAGTTTGATGCGGCCCAGTATTGCTGCGCAAGAACGGCCAACCCCTGCTTGGGATCGGCACAGCTTTTTTTCTTGTTTCTTCTCCAGGCGCGAAAGCTCACCTGCCCATATTCTAAAGCAGGGGACCCCGGCACTAGCGGGTGTGCTGGCATTTTGGCATGTCGTTCACAATAAAGAGCCCTGTTCTTTGACTCAAACTCTGTATTTTCCTTTCTCTTTTGAGATTTGTTCACGTCGCAATTTGAGTCAGTATGTCGTACCAGGTCTCACAGGTGTCGTATTCGCCGTCCCATCTCTCTCCCCATCTCCATATTCATATCCATATTACTGTTACTTCGTCCCGCGTCGGGATCGGCATGCAATCAACGCCAGACCCACCAATCCCTTGGGTTCGGCGCGCCCATCGCTTACGATGTAGGAAGCGCGGCTGAGGCATTCACTTTGGAGCACGAAGTAAAAATGGAGAAATTAGTGTGAAAGAAAATCAGAAATCAAATTCCTTCATGGGCGAGATGGAACCCTCTAAATGATTCCCATCGAGATGTGGCGTTTCGCAACGCCTTCGATGTGAGAATGTGCCCGATGGTAGGGCGAAAAGAAGACACTGGGGACCCTGTGATAGAACGAGGATAGTCTACATCGTTGCTGACTGTAGAAGGTGTATCGATGTCTCGCAGATCTTGTTGAAACTCGTCATGCCTTTCCTTTTTTTTTAAAAAAAAAATTGCGGAAGAACGGAGTTCAAAACATGCGCCTAGGGACAAACCACTCTGCCTACAATCGTCACACCAAAGTGGATGTGATTGTCTATCTCCATTTCGACCTTCTATTTTCGAACGTCACCGTTTTACCCGCCTGCTCACTTGCCCGAATGTCTGGACGATTCCGCGTCTTTCATCACAGCCCAAAACAACGTGTCCATTCTCCATTCAGATCGGCATCATACATATCTCCTAACTTTGTCTGCCGCATTTGCCCTGTGGGGTTTTGGGAGCCTTGCTTTGTCACATTCATAACCACAAAGGGCACGTAACGCACTCTGTCTTGCGGGTGGCCCCTGGTGGGAATCGCGGTCGCCGTACGTCTTGGCGCCCACCACAAACGGGACAGACGTGCCTCACGACCGGACTGCATGTTACCGCATACTTTTGATGAAAACTGCATGGAATGAAGTCGCAGCTAGTTGACCTCGTCGGCAGGGGGGTCTAATCTGAACTCATGTCGTCGTTTCTTTCGTCTCGTCACGTACAACGTGCAATGTAAGACACGATACCCTCTGTACCGTGGCAGTTGCACGCGGTGTCCACGTCTCCATTGTCGTCGTAAGACCGCGTCAAATCGTAATTCATCCGATGCTTTGCAAGTGAGGCGACACTTTGATATCATTGCAAGTCCATAACACTAAAGAGAGGCTAGAGAACAGAACATGCAAAGAAGCACGCCGCTTGTGCTGCAGGTGGTTGACGAGAGGTCGAGTCCGTGATGTCCCAGAAAGGCCAAAAGTGATTTCGCGAAAGGGTTCCTCGGCAAATTGCCAATTTTCAGGGCTAGACAGCGCCAGTAGAAGCCAAAAGCAAGTCCGAGGCGCTTGTCAATGACCGCTAGCACAGTGCGTCCAAAGGGTCGTCTTTGGGGGCGGACGGGTGTCGAGAGCATGTGTGTTTTGTAACGGGATTTCGTGACAACTGACAATCAAGGCCAACAGGGGAAACCGATACGTTTGCCTATGTTAAAGCATCACGGCCGGGGCAAGCACTGATCCGGGTGCTTCTTTCCTGTAGTCTCGCATCTGTACCTTCCTCGGATGCGGCGACAGGCACAAGAACCGCCATGGGAAGGCGCCGGGTGCCACCGCGCCTTCCGTACAACGTTCGTTCGGCGTCACACAAGCGGCTTGCGCCCTCGTAGAATACGGGATAGGGGCGCGTTCGTACTTGCCTGTCTCTCGTCAAAGGAACATTGCCTGTTAGGGCAGCCTCGACCACTTAGCTTGGGTGTACCTGAGACGTGCCTGCAGTCTGGTTTCCTCGCCCGAAGACAGTGACATTCCTCACTAACAGCAAGTGTATTCGGCGTCTCAGTCCCCGGGCACTACCCTGCGACGTAATTTGGCGATGCGCAATTGTTACGACCGTATCGTCCTAGGGCTCGTCCGGAGGAGATGAGAGGTGACATCGGCCACGACGGTCCACAGCCTGGCCTCCCACTCTTGGAATGAACTCCATCGCACCTTCTGTAAAACGCAGGTGAGTCTGTACATCCCATTTCCCCATGTATCAAATCCAAGGCAGCTGCGACCGGCAGCAGTTGCCTCCATGACAGACAGAACAGCCTGCTTGATACCACATCGCTTGACACATGCCTTCCTGTTATGGATGTCGTGAAGTTTGTTGACGTTGGAAAACGCACGTGATCGGCACCGTCCTGCCTCTCGCAATTGTCAATGTGACGCAAAATTGTCACTCGTCAGCCTCTTAGATCTCTCCTCTTTTCGTTCTCACCACGAACAACACCAAAATCCACCCTCGGCCGTTCTTCCTCTCCACCCGAGCGCACCCCCAAGCCAAGCCAGCAGATTGCAAAAGACCAGGTCCAGCTGGCCCGCGCTAGCGCCATTTCGACAGGGATTGTTTGCTCCACGAACAGGGGTAAGTGTGGTGGTGGTGTTGGTGGTGGTGGTCGCCAGCCGGTGGGTCGGCTTCCGTCTGGCTCTTTTTTTTGCCGCTGCTCTTCTTTTCTTTTTTGTCTTTCTTTGCGCTCGCTGGCGTTCCATCGGGCCCCATGGAACAAATCGTCAGCGGGCGCACCAGCAAATCAACGGACGCACCGTCCGATGGGAACTGGAGGACATCGGCTGCTCACACCTTCTTTTTAGGCCTCTAGGTCTGTTCGCACTTCTGTGATCGGTTCTTTTTTTCTTTTCTTTTTTTCCCCTTGTTCTCAAGGCCCTCCTGTCCTGTCATGGTCCTGACGCTAATCGAAAAGAAGCAAAAATCCCACCAGCAAAAAAGCAGGGAACAGCGGAGTCCCTCTCTCGTCTCTGTTGTCGGCTCCTCTTTGAACTTTCCCTCACACCACAAGACACACGGCTTGGTTCCTTTTGCTCGTCGGTCAGATCCACATGCTGGGCCGTCTGCAAGTCGTCGTCTCGCTCTGGGGTCCTGCCTTTCTTTCCCTCTTGTGCGAAATCTCACCATAATTTTGCTTGCATTCCATCTCGCCTTTTGCTCTCTCCTCCCCAATCCACCACCTCTTCCGTTTCTCGTCCTCCTCTATACCCTCGCTGGAACAGACCGGTCTCGGGACTCCGGGCGCTTTTTGTCTTGCCCTCCCTTCCTCGCCATCCTCACTGCTGTCAGACCAAGAATATTGTCTCGCATCCTCCCGACGTTCGGCAACAGTTCATGAGACAACTCGCACAACTCCCAACCGCGCGGCATTCACCAAGACATTCATATCAGCAACTGCCAGTACTCCACGGATTGCATCTGGATCGGGAAAGCGAATCCATTTCAACGGCAGCGTCTCGGGCTTTTATTTAATCTCCTGTTCACATCTTTGGTATTATTTGTCTCGTCTCACCAGAGCCAAGCAGCTGGGGACCAGCCATCGGAAGATTTCGTTATCCAACACGCCTTGTGTCTCGTCCTGCAACCTTTCCCGCCGACCATCGTCTCCTCTCATCTCCTGCTCCTGCAGGCGGCCGTCTTCTCTGTATCTCGCTTCTTGCCGCAACCCTCGCCTGAATAGCCGCCATTGTCTATCTGGCCTGCGCGCTCTCGAAACACTGCCAGCCCAAGCCGATATTTGACTTGGCGTCTTGACTGTGGCCGCCCGTCACGGATACAGTGCACTATCGACTGGCGGACCGACAATCAGACAGTGCAGCTCCAGGACGTATCACCCGACGACCGACGAACCGCCTTCAACCGCGCCGTCAAATCTCCCAAGCAGCAAATCATCTTGAAACTGAGCTCTGAAAGCTCGGCCGCTCAATTTCCTATTCGCGACTCAACGACTGCACCGCCTTGAAAGGTACTTCAAAATTTGCCCTTCTCGCGACGGCCTCAGTGTACATGGCTTCGCTCATGCGCCGATAAAGCTGGGATTTTCTCCCCCTTCTCCTTCAACTTCCACATTTTGCTGAGTAAGGGGGGCTTGGGGTGTGATTACAGTTGTTGCGCAACCTTCTCACTTTCGCAGCAAGCCTTGACTGATTCTGCTTTTGCGCGTGATTTTGCGCTTGTGTTTGCGTTTGCTTTTGCACCATTGCCATGCCTCGCTTCAGTTTTCCGGTCCCCGGCCGGAGGAGCAAACAGGAGCCCGTCGCTGCCAAGGCGCCGCCTCTCACCAAGGTCCAGAAAGTCCTAGGTTCCTCACATATCAATGTCGACTCGGCCGCCTCATTGCCCCTATCCGATGCGGCCAGGCACTGGGACACCGCCTCCAACGCCCACTCCAGCATCAGCATCAACGTGCCCGAGAGTGCCATAAGCTACGACGAAACTCATGATGGCGGTCTGCCGAGCCTTACCGAAGACACGGTTGTTGACAGCCCTCGCGGCGGCCGGTCCGCGGGCTTCGACGAGGAGTCGGGCGTCCTGCCGCGGATCTTCGCTGACGGCGACATCAGCATCGACTTGTACGGCCACGAGGGCCGCTCCATCACGGACGCCTCAAGCCTTCGGCGCAAGCAGTCCGGCTCCACCATCGTCTCATACTACGACAAATCCAAAGTTCCATTGGGCATCTCACAACAGACGTCGAATTCGGCCATGGCCAAGGGTCTGCCTACAAAGGCGAGCTCGTTACTCGACATTGACGGCAGCCTCTCGCAAGCGTCAAGGCGCAAAAAGAAGCCGGCCAAGCTCGACCTCTCCCGCATGTTCACCAACCGCAAGTCGTCCAGCACCATGACCCTAAACACCGATCGAGGGCTGGTCCTCAGTCCTGACATGGTTACGCGCTCTCCATCCTTCATGTCCGTTTCCCCAATGGACTACCTCAACCACCCGCACAGCAGCACCCGCAGCCACCACAAAGTACGACCTGTGACACAGGGCTCGATGCGCGACGGCCTGTCTGGCATGGCAAGTCCCAAGCAAAAGGTGCTGCGGAAAAAGTCTCTACCCAATCCACGATTAACAACGACAACACCTGCACCCCCTACTCCTTCCGCCACACAAGAAGCAGCCGGCCTCCAGAACCTGTATGCACACTACGAACAGATGACCTTCCGCGACGTCTTTGCCGAGCAGGACGCCGAGTCATCGTCCGAGGTGCCTGCTACCGATAGCGAAGGCGACGGCGCCGCGCCCATGTCGCCCATGTCGCCCAAGACTGTGCCTCAGATTTACCAAGAAAAGATGGAAGAAGAGGCGCGCGCCGGCAACTACCTGCCACAGATCACCCTGGAGACACCGCTCTACAAGGACATCTCGGCCTACTTGGGTGGCTACGGTGCCAACGTAGATGTCGCGGCGGCGCGCGGCAACGACCCGCTCGATCTTCCTACCCTCAAAACCCCCTTGGACGACGGTTCCGACAGCATCTCCAGCCGACACACGCGGACTTCCAAAGCGTCGAAACGCACTGCCCAGAGCTTGCTCGATATCGACCTGAAGCAAACAAGCGTCCTGTCTCTGTCGTCCGACTCGGAGGACGACATGGTCGATTCACGCCCCAAGACATCCTCCACTTCCACGCTGCCCTCGCCGCGGTCGCAACGAGACACCACACCAAGCGCTCAAGGTCAAGAAAGCCAGCACCCAACGACATCACGCAGCCAGTCGTCCGGCAAGAAGAAAGACCGCTCGAGCGGCCGGTCCGACAACACCGTGCACTTCTTGCCCGTGCCCAACCCCAACGAGAGCCCGTCGCCCGGCCCCGTCCTGTCCGCAACAGCCTACTCCCGTGCTAGCTCAGCGTCTGCATCGACCACCAGCACCACAAAACCCTCCATCCGCGATATTCGGTCTCCGTCCCGCGAGTCGCACGCGTCGCGCGTTTCCATGGCATCAACACGGACGGGCAATTCGGTCGGCCCGGCCAACTACACCGTACACGAAGCCCGCGCCATCACGCTCATTCCAGCACAGGGTGCCTCTTTCAATTCCGACAAGGCGCGCAGCCGCACGTCCTCGTCTGACCAGCCGACCCCACCGCTGTCACCGACAAGCATGGACTTTATGATTCGATCCAACCGCGCATCAGTCTACGATGGCGATCAGGGCTCAGTTCAGTCGGCTAACGGCAATTTGCCGGCCGATTCTAGCGCCCGCAGCCCCTCAGCAGGACCAGGTCGCTTCATGGCCGTCACGCGCCAGGAGGAGCTGCTGCTCGCCGCCCTGCGCAAAAAGCGGCTTCGCATGCGTGAGTCGGTCATCGCCGAGTTTGAAGAGGAGGAGGGCAAGGAAAAGGATAAGGAAAAGAAAACAGCCGAGAGCAAGGAGCAAGAAATTGCAGCATCGCAGCCAGCCACGCCCGTCCACGAGATCCGTCGAGGAAGCATTGATGCCGTCCTCGAGTTGCATTCGCCGCAGCCTCGATCAATGAGCGCCGCGTCCATTAGCTTCAACGACTTTCCTATGCAGTTCGAGGACGCGACCTTCCCCGTGCCGCCTTCGACCGGCATTCGCAACTCTCTGCGGCCGAGCTCTGCCCTGTCGCTCTCAATTCCTCTGTCTCCCCGGTCAAAGCCACCGACCGCCCAGCTGCCGCCGACACCGACGGCCAGATCGACTCCCAACCCCGACCTGGACCGAGTGCTCATGAACATGAACAAGCCAACCTCGACTGTAGAGTCGGGCTCGGGAGCGTCCGGCAAGGTGTCCAACAGCAGTGGGAGTGGGACTGGCACGACCAGTGGCAGTGGCAGTGGTAGTGGCAGCCACAGCACGCCAGCGAGCGACCGCTCCGAAGACGTTTTCGGCAGTGCTGCCCGGAACACGCACATTCATGATGGCGGGTCAAGCCCGCGCCTCAGTGATTGCCTCAACTTTGACGACGAAGCCGAAGACGAAGACGAAGACGAAGACAAACGAGACGGCGCCGCCAGTGACAGCGCCGAGAGCTACGACTCGTTCGATTTCCAGTCGTCTGTAGACCAGTCGCCCATCGACCCGCCGGCAACCGCTTCTCCGCCAGCCTCCTCCGTACAGAACCAGCGCCCACCAACCCGTGGTCGCCAGCCGCAATACCTTGGCGTGGCAAAGCCGACACGCGGCCCGACACTGCCGACTGTGCACGACGACATTGACGAATTCAGTGACTACGACGAGTACGAGAACGTCGTCAATGACGACGAAGTGGGCGTCGACGCCACGAAGGACGGCTACCCGGTGCAAAACGTCGGCGCGTCGGCGGACCTGGCGTTTAACTCCTTTGGCAACAACAACAACAACAACAACAACAACAACTACAACGGCCGCAGGCAGAGCCTCGCGCAGAACAACAGCCACCACAGCTACTATGGCCACGCCGACGACGACGAGCAGGGCATACCGCGGCCAGACTCGCCGCTCGAGTCGCCTCTGCCCTTCCCGCACAAGCGAGCTGTGCGCATCAGCGCCGTCGGCGGTGGTACGCGCGTCGGCATGGAGGCCGGCTGGTGGGGTCACAACGGATAGGCGGCGATAGGCGGCGATAGGCGGCCGTTTGACCACCGTTGTCTCCTGTTTCATGTCACATTAATTATCCTTTTCCCCTTCCCTTCGATCCCCTTCTCTCCAATTTCTTTTGTCTTCATGTAAAGAGCATTTACAACCAAGAGGAGCCAAGCACCACTCTGTATTAATGGCCAGCGATGATCTGTTTTTTTATTACTTTTGTGGTTTTGGATCTACCGATTTCTTTTGTTTTGTACTCGGTCTTATTTTTGAATATTCTCTTCTCAGGTCAACTGGTTGGCTTAAGAATGTCCCTACTTTTATAACTGTAGTTTTAATATAACACGCTGTGCAATTTTGGATTCAGCTCGTTTTTTGTTGTACTCTGCATAATTTGCGCATTTTCTCTTCGTGCCGCCATGCGATGCCGACCTACCTAATGCGGGCAATACGGCCGCCGACCTGTGAGCATTTTGGCGTACGTCGCTAAATTTTGCTGGGCATCCTCCACCCAGATTACGCTGTCAGAGGCACTGTGCGGAGGCGGTGTCGCGGTGTTTGTCAACCTCCAACTTTCTGACACCGCCGGACGCCGCCCGCGGCATTTCGACAGCGCACGCGAGCAGACGACAATCTCCAGACACAATGGTAGCACACCCAAGTTTACTCCGCCTACTCCGCTCACATTAAACTAATACGACTTCACCAGACCGCACCCGCCCGCACGGAGCTCGTGTTCCATCACGACGCCAAGCGCTACACGCTGCCGACGACGGTGGTCGCCGTACTGCCGTTTGCGTCGCTGGCGTCGGCCAACAAGGCACTCTTCAAGCAGGGCCTTCAGGAGGAAGCCGACGGCCAAGAGACGCCCTACTATGCCGTCGTGACCGAGGCTACCATCTTCCACCCGCAGGGTGGCGGGCAGCCGTCGGATGTCGGAACGATGACGGCGACGACCGCGGCGGATGGCGAGGGCGGGGGTGTCCACACACCGGCGTCTGTGGTGTTTGACGTCTTGTCAGCACGCACCGACGCCGTCCACCCCAGCCAGGTGCTGCACTTTGGCCGGTTCACGACGGGCTCCGACAACACCAATGGCAGTTTCAGTTTTGCGACCGGCACGCCCGTCACGCAGGCCATTGACGTCGCCAAGCGGATCCTCTACTCGCGCCTGCACACAGCGGGCCACGTCCTCGGCGCGGCCGTCCGCCACCTCGTCGAGCAGCAGGTGGAGGGCTTCGACGAGCTCAAGGCGTCGCATTTCCCCGACGCGGCGTCGTGCGAGTTCCGCGGCAAGATTGACGGCCACTGGAAGGACCCCATCCAGGCGCGTCTCACCGAGTACATTGCGCGAGCGATGCCCATCGAGATCGACTGGTGGGACGCCGCGGATTTCCGCAAGAACGGGCTGGAGCGGCTGATTCCGCAGCCGGCCGCACCGTCGTCGTTGTCGTCGTCGTCGACGACATCGGCAGTGCCCACGGACAAGTGGCGGATTGTGCGGATCGTGGGCGCCGAGGTGTACCCGTGCGGCGGCACTCACGTGGACTCGACGGACCTCTGCGGGGAGACGCGGGTGACCAAGATTTCGCGGTCCAAGGGGATCTCGCGGGTGTCGTATGCGCTGGCTGACCCGGGGATGGCATAGACGGACAGGGTGACGATAGACGGACGCCGTACAACGACTAGCCACGCATCGATGACAAATAAACTTCGTTCAGACGTTTGCAGGCTGACACTAAAATAGCACGAGCGGAAATGGCTAACACACCAGATACGAATCGGAAAATAACACGGTATGGGGGGACAATCACAGCGGTATACATTCGACAGCTGCTGCATCGATTTCTTCATTGCGGTGCACACTCAAAATTGCGTAGAATGCGGTGCTTGCCGCCCATACAGGTCACGAACAAGTCTGACGAGGAGGCTTCCGGAGAGGTTGGGTTGTCCTTCGTGGCGGTCAGTGGCGATCTTTTTGACCTTTTAGAGTTGGGGATCGGCATCAGCGAGGGTCAGGTACCTCGGGCAAGTTCTCGAGGGCGCAGCGGTGGTTCAAAGGGAATTCAGGGACCTGAGCAGCAATGGCCTCGAGCGCGTGGCCCTTGCTACCGCCGACGTCGACAAGCGAGACGGATGTCTGTTCGTTACCGAGCCGACCACGGCTCTCACTAACCAGTCCAGGCTGTACGACCCAGACGAGGACAGTGTAACTCAGACAAGGTCATGACAAAGGTAAAGGGGTGCATGAGCTCGGGTTCACTCTGAAACGAAGATTGAGGACGGTGTCCTGGTTCTGGGTGGCTTTGATGGCGCTGTTGAGTGCACCTTACCAACCTGTGCTTACTTGTGGTGCTGGTCAGGGTGGAGGACGATGGGCCATCACGGACGCCTTTGAACGCTTCAGCCAGCGGTTTTGACAATTGTCGCGTCTGTCAGCTAGTGCTGCTGGTTCGGGTGCAAGAGGGGACATTGTGTTGGGGAGACGGTGTAGTTTGAAGGGTCAAGACAACATGATATAAAACGAATACCAAATGCTAAATTAATGCCTGCGTAACCAGACGGCTAACGAACGCATGACTCGCCATCATGCTCCAGAAAAATTACAATGAAAGTAAAGGACACACCCAGCCTCATATATTGTGTCAGGATGTCGTCGTCGTTGTGCATTCGCTGACAACTACCGGTATGTTGACCTGGACCAATCACAATACACACTATTCAGTCCACAAGGGTCAACACCGGCCGACGGAACTCTGCATCTTCCGTCCTGCACTGATACACTACCACTCACACCGTTATATCGTACGGCGCAGGCTGTCCGACAGGTAGTAGTAAGGTTGTCTGAGATTCTTTTCGAGGGATGGAAGGCGACTTTAGTGGGTGTTGTCGCCTGTGTCGTTTGACAGAGTTATCTTTTGAATACTAGGCCTTTTGTCAAAACCGGTCACAAAAGCAGACAAAGCAGGCTGCCAAAAAATAAAAACACAAAAATACAGCAAGAGCTTACCTTTCATTATCCCCCCTTATAACTGCTGTCCATGTTCTGGCCTTCTCTCCGGAATGTCGAGACTCCCTTTGTTGCCGACATCGTTGACTGGCGGCGGTGGGCTGTACTGGCGAAACCCGTCCGAAACGGATCCTACGGCGCGTTCGATGTCGGCCGCGTTGCTCTGGCCAAAAGAAGGAATATGTCCAACGTCATGAACACTCTGCTGCTGCTGACTCTCTTCGTAGGCCGGGGGGTCGTCGGGAAGAGTAGGCAGTCCTGGTTGCGGCAGCTGGACGCGCGAGCCGTTCGCTTCTTTGGCAAAGGCCGCTGCGTCGTCGCCATGGTGATCCAGCCGATGGGTTTGCATCGCCTTGGCAAGAACTTGCTGCTCATGGTTCTGCTGCAGCTGCTGTCGACGCCGCTGCCGCGTGCATAGCCAGATGAGCACAGCCGCAATGAGGAAAAAGGCGAGCACAGACCCGACGGCAATGCCGGCAATGGCGTTGGAGCCGAGGCCGGACATTCCGGGGCCGTAGCCGCTTCCAAGGCCATTTCCGGGCCCGCGGCCGCTGTCGTAGCCACCGCCCAACGTGTCGCTGCTGCCTCCAGTTGTGGCCGTGCCGCCTCCGCTGGTCAAAGTACCGCCGCTGCCCGAAGTACCACTTCCACTGGTGCTTCCACTGGTGCCTCCACTGTTGCCTCCGCCGTCACCCCCGCTGCCGCTGCCACTCCCATTTCCCGTCCCGGTGTTTGTGCCAGTACTCGCTCCACCACTGCTTCCGCCGTTGTCGTTGCCGCCGCTTCCTGGGAAGCCGTTTCCATGCGAAAATGGGTTGCTGCTGCTGACGCCGATTTGGCGACGATGGAAGGGAGGGATCACCATATCGTTTCGTGGAGGTCAAAAGTTCTGTCCTTACTTTGTTTCTGTTTCCTTTTTTTTTAAAAAAAAAGAAAGCGTAAAATAGTATACTTACATATATCAAATTTTCAAACCTTCAAACCATAAATCACCATTTCTCCCCAGAGAAACTACAACTTCGACCCAGGGGCGGATATGTCCTATATAGCAGTGTCCAGCAATCCAAACATTGCAACACAAAAGTCAGCCTGCCATGCAGCGAGGACGAAACTAGCTTTCAGATCCTACTGCAGCACACTACACATGTCGTACACTGTACGTATGTGCGCATATGAGCAGCACGCATAGGCTACACAAGAGGCTGAGCATGCAGATAGTGTCACAGGCCGTCTACTGTGCCCTCCTCACGAAAAGCAAGACACACGACAAACAACACGAAACACGTCCACCCTCGGGTCATTGTCTAGTCCATGGCAGTCTTACTGAGCGCCGTGCAACACACCCGCCGCAGTCCAAGCCTGCCGAGCCAGTTGCTCCGCGCCTGACAAAGGACATGGCCCGCATCGCTCCATCCACATGATGCAGGCCTCGGCCGCCTGTCCGCTTGCCCTCCTGTGTGTCAGTCCGCTTGTCTGCCTTTGTTGTTGGCTGGCTCAAGTGCGGCCAAGGAAAAAGACTTGGCACGCGGCTGAAAGTCGACGGTGTCGGGCTGCCCCAATCTCAGGCCCGAGGTGGCAGACAGCGAGACGTGAGACTGGCCAGTTGCGTGTTGAAAGCGTTTCGTGTTGAAGTATGAGCAGCCGAGCATTAGACAGTGAGAATCGCTATGTGGCCATGTCATAGCATGTCTCGCTCTTTCCTTGTCACCCGAGTCCCGCGCTTTCCCTTTCACCATTGTCTTGTTTATCGTTCCTGCCGTCTTTCTCGACGCGAATGTGTACGTGCAAGCCACACTACCAACACCAGCCACAGGTACCCCGCCGAGTTGCTGTCCTGGTGAGGGGGTAGTTGCATGCTGTGGGGCCGCGGCCGTTGGTTGGTCAGGTACATCCTCCTTATCTTATCGGCACCCTTAATTTCGATTTTTTTTGGGCTCCTCTTTTTGCACGGCAGAATTTATTCAACCCATATTTTTCTTTTTTTTCGCTTCCCTCAGGGACCACCACCACCCACCCACGGTCGCCGCCGTTGCCCTGCAGCGACTTATTTTTCTTGTCCCCTCTCTTACCCTCCTTTTCGTCGGCTGTTCTTTTTCTGCTCCTCCTTTTCTGCTCCTCGATTGCTGTTCTTTTCTTCTCCTTTCGTTCCCTTCTTTTCTCTCCCCCTTTCTCTTGTTTCTCCTGTTCATCATCTTGTGTCTCGTCCCCCAACAGCCACAATGGACAGCCAGAAACTTGCCAGTCTGCTCCAGGAGAGCCAGGTCCGTATGTCTCACCCTTTTCACCCTCCCGTTGTCTTTGTTCGCCATCCTTGCGCACTTTTCCCACCCAACTAACTCCTCCCAGCCGACACGACACGAATCAAGGCCATCACGGCCGAGCTCCAAAAGAACTACTATGCGCACCCCGAGTCGCTGCTCGCCCTCATCGAGATCGTCTGCACCCACAGCGATGTGACCGTCCGCCAGCAGGCCGCCGTCCAGGCCGCCCGCCTCGTGCCGCGTCACTGGAAGTCGCCCTCGGCCGACCAGAAGACCGCCGTCCGCAAGCACCTCCTGGATGCGACCCTCCAGGAGCAGCATGCCAAGTGCCGCCACTCGGACGCCCACCTCGTCGCCGCCATTGCCACCTTTGACTTTGACGACGGCGAGTGGCCCGAGCTGCTGCCCGCCCTCTTCACCCTGGCCACGAGCAACGAGCCCGCCCAGCGCGAGATCGGCTCCTACATAATATATTCGACCCTCGAGGCCAACCCCGTCATCTACAAGGACCACGTCCAGAAGCTGCTCGGCCTCTTTGCCCAGCTCATCAAGGACCCCGCCAGCGCCGACGTCCAGGTCAACACCGTGCTGTCCGTCGGTGCCCTGCTGGTGCTGATCGAGGCCGATGAGGACGAGGACGAGGCGGCCGTGGCGGCCGTGCGCGACCTCGTGCCCCAGATGGGCCTCGTGCTCAAGAACGCCGTCGACGCCAGCGACGACGACAAGATCCAGGCCGTCTTCGACGTCCTGCAGCAGTTCCTCGTCTTCAGCCCGGCCTTTGTCGGCGTCCACCTCAAGAGCCTCGTCCAGTTCATGATCGACCTGTCCGCCAACAAGGACGCCGACGACGACGTCCGCGTGCAGGCCATGTCGTACCTGACCCAGACCGTCCACTACCGCCGCCTCAAGATCCAGGCCATGCGCGACATGGCCGCCCACCTCGTCGTCAAGAGCATGGAGATCCTGACCGAGATCGGCGACGACGAGTCCATCGACGAGGAGACCCCCGGCCACCTGGCCCTGAGCCTGCTCGACGCCCTCGCCAGCTCCCTGCCGCCTCGCCAGGTCCTCGTGCCCCTGCTGGACGAGTTCCCCAAGTACGCCTCGTCCGCCGACCCGGCGCTGCGCAAGGCCGCGATCCTGGCCCTCGGCAACTGCGCTGAGGGCGCCCCCGACTTTGTCAACACCCAGCTCAAGTCCATCCTGCCCGTCGTCGTCCAGCTGCTCAACGACCCGGACGAGACCGTGCGCCACGCCTCGCTGGTCGGCCTCACCGGCCTGGCCGAGGAGATGCCCGAGTCCATTGCCGTCGAGCACGAGGCCATCATGACGGCCATCCTCAAGAACCTGCAGGCCTCCATGGTCCCGTCCGCCAACCCGGAGGAGACCAAGAAGAACAGCCAGGTGATCCGCGCCGCCTGCACGGCTTTTGATGCCGTCTCCAACGGCCTCAAGGGCGAGACCATGAAGCAGTACGCCCTGCAGCTGATCGAGCCCATTGGCCAGCTGTTTGGCCACCCGGACCTGCGCGTCAAGATTGCCGCCGCCAGCGCCCTCGGCGCCATTGCCGAGCCGCTCGAGCAGGACTTTGCGCCCTACTTTGAGAAGAGCATGCAGGCCCTCGGCAGCTACGTGACCATCAAGGGCGAGGAGCTCGAGCTGCAGCTGCGCAGCGCCGTGCTCGACTCCATCGGCCGCATCGCCGTCGCCGTCGGCTCCAAGCTGTTCCAGCCGTACGTCGTCGACCTCATGAAGGCCAGCGAGGAGGGCCTGACCCTCGAGGACGACCGGCTCCGCGAGAGCAGCTTCATCTTCTGGGCCTCGCTCGCCAAGGTCTACGGCCGTGACTTCAAGCCGTTCCTGCCGGGCGTGCTCAAGGCCCTGCTGGACGCCCTCGACGGCGAGAGCGACGACACCGTCATCAACCTGACCGACGAGGAGAAGGCCATCATCGCCGCCGGCGGTGTCTCGGGCAACGTGCTGGTCGGCGGCAAGAAGGTCAAGATTGAGGATCTCAATGCCGAAGACCTCGACGAGTCGGACCTCATGGGCGACAGCGACGACGACGACGACGACGACGATGACGACGACTGGGCCAACATTGACAGCGAAGCCGAGGAGAAGGAGGTCGCCATCGAGGTGCTGGGCGACATCATCTCGAACGCCTGCGGCGAGGAGGAGATGCAGGAGTATTTGGAGAAGGCTGTGAGCGCGGCCGTCGACCTGACCGAGCACCACTACGGCGGCGTGCGCAAGGCGGCCGTCGGCATGCTGTGGCGCTCGTACGCGCGCGTGTGGCAGCTGACAGAGGAGTCGACGGGCACCAAGTGGCAGCCGGGCTTCCCGCCCAAGGCGGCGCCCACGCCGCTGCTGACCAAGCTGGCCGAGATGGTCGTGCGCCCGACGCTCGACCTGTGGACCGACGAAGCTGAGCGGTACGTTCCTGCGCTTTGCATACTTGACTGTTTCTTTGCGATTCCACCTGTCCCCCCCGGCACGATATGATGATCACCTTGCGTTATACCCAGCTCACTCAGACGCATTACATGCGAATGCTGCGAAAACGTCTAATCTACCTGTCTGATCGATGCCATTACTTTGGAACTTGCCGTTTTGAATCGGGTTTATTGTCTTTTTCTTCCTTTTTGTTTTTCATCCGACGCTTGCTAACAGAGTAGTGATGTCGTTACGGACGTCAACCGCAACGTGGCCGCCACCCTCGAGACCTGCGGCCCCGCCATCCTGGCCCAGGAGAACGCCGTCCAGGAGATTGTGTCGGTTCTCGGGCAGATCATCACCCGCTCGCACCCCTGCCAGCAGGACGTCGGTGACGAGGAGGATGCGCAGACCGCCGAGGAGAGCTCCGAGTACGACTGGCTCGTGGTCGAGACCGCGCTGGACGTCGTCATGGCCCTGGCCACGGCCATTGGCTCTGCCTTTGGCGAGCTGTGGAAGATCTTTGAGAAGCCCATCACCAAGATTGCCAGCTCCAACGAGTCGTACGAGCGCTCGGCGGCCGTCGGCACCATTGCCAGCTGCGCCGGCGCTATGGGCGCCACCGTCACGCCGTACACGACGCCCCTGCTCAAGCTCATTGTGCACCGCCTCAGCGACGAGGACCTCGAGACCAAGAGCAACGCCGCCTTCGCCGCGGGCCAGCTGGTCGCCAGCTCCACGGACAGCAAGACGTACCTGGCCGCCTACCCGACGCTCCTCGAGAAGCTCGAGCGCCTGCTGGCCATGGACGACACGGGCCACCGCATGTACGACAACGCGGCCGGCGCGCTGTGCCGCCTGATCACGGCGCACCCGGACCAGGTGTCGATCCCCGACTACCTGCCCGCCGTCGTGGCGCGCCTGCCGCTCAAGGAGGACTACGAGGAGAACAAGAACATCTACACGTGCCTCTTCCACCTGTACGAGCACGGCGAGCCGACAGTGCAGCAGCTGACGCCGCAGCTGCGGCCCGTGTTCCAGCAGGTGCTGGGCGCGCCGGAGGAGCAGCTGGACGACGAGACGCGCGCCCTCGTGCAGCAGATTGTGGCCAAGGTCAACTAGAAGCAGATTGTGTTGTTTTTGTTGATGTTGTTGTTGATGATGATGTTGTTTTATTTTTGCGCTTGACGACGACATAATGAAGAACCCAGGGTACAGAAAAGTTTTTATTTTTATTTCCATGAACATATTCAAGAGGAGGACCCTGCAGCAACCGGAGCAGCACAGTCAAGTCATTCCTCATGTTAATGCCTTTCCATTTGACGACGTTTATGCTAGGATGGTACTACGGTGGACAAGGTGACTCTTGCACGTGTCGCCCTTTATCCCCTATTTTCACTTTTTTTGTCTGATTTGTCGTCTGATTTGTCGTCTTTCATCTGCCGTTTCGATTTGTCCTCTTGATTTGTCTTTCTATATACCAGCTTTGCTTTTAGACCACTCCGTCGCACGCAGACCATTCCACATCCATATGCTTCTCACACGTCAATCACACCACACACCATAGCACGGCAGCGTTTTACAGAATTAAACATGCTTTCCATTCCCTCCCTATTGGTCCCCCCAAATATATTATTCTACTTTTAAGTTTTGTTCGCGCCGGGACTGGCATCCTGCATGCTTCATCCTTTGAATCCTTAGCTTCGTGGGAGAGGGGTAGCGCCGTGGTGTGCTTTTGCACCAATCGGCACCGCTGATTAATCATCGACGAGCCGCCCGCGTCCGTCTACGAGAAGCGGCGTGGAAGGCGAAAGACGAAAAGGCACAAAGCGGCGGCCATGGTCGATAACGTCATGCGTGTTGATTAATCGTGGCTGGATGGCCAGCGCCCGCCTTGCCGTTGGTGGGCCCTCGCGTCTCTGAGCTCTCCGCGACGAAGGTGGTATATATATAATACAAGGACACGGGGGCGGGAACGGTCTGATCGTGTTTGTCGAACATTTGACTGGATTTCAGTTTCTCGACAGTTTATTGTGTCTCGATCTTCGAAAACAGCTCTACGACACAGCCACGTCTCCAACAGCCAACACGCCCACGATGGTCGCGAACAAGACACTCATCTACAAGCGCATCCCCAAGGGCGCTCCGGTCGCGGGCCAGGACCTTGTCGTCGAGGACAGGCCGTTTGACCTGGACGCGCCGCCGCCGGCCGGTGGCATGGTCGTCGAGGTGCTCTGGGTGTCCTACGACCCGTACCTGCGCGGCAAGCTGCGCGACCCGTCGATCCCGTCGTACACGCCGGCGTTTGAGCTCGGCACGCCCATTACCAACGACGGCGTGGCGCGCGTCATCAAGTCGGACAACCCCAAGCTGCCCGAGGGCACGCTGGTGCTCGCGTACGTGCCCATTGCGCAGTACGTGGCCCTCCCCGCGGACGTGCCGGCCAATCGGGGCCTGCCCGGCGTGCGCATCGTCGACAACCCGTTTGGGCTGGACCTGGGCCACTTCTTGGGCCCGCTGGGCATGCCTGGCCTGACGGCGTACTCGGGCCTCTACGAGATTACCAGACCGAAAAAGGGCGAGACGCTGTTTGTGAGCTCGGCGGCGGGCGCCGTGGGCCAGATGGTGGGGCAGATTGCGAAGCGGCTGGGCCTGCGGGTGATTGGGTCGGTGGGCTCGGACGAGAAGCTGGACTTTGTCGTCCGGGAGCTGGGCTACGACGCCGGGTTCAACTACAAGAAGGAGGCGCCCGCGGACGCGGTCAAGCGGCTGGCGCCGGACGGCATCGACATTTACTTTGACAACGTGGGCGGCGACCACATGGAGGCGGCGCTGCAAAACATCAAGGTGCACGGGCGCGTGGCGGTGTGCGGGACGATTTCGGACTACAACAAGCCGCAGGGCCAAAAGGGCGGCATCAAGGACCTGTTCCGGTTCGTGCAGAAGCGGATCCTGGTGCAGGGGATGCTCGTGGGCGACGCCAACTTTGGGCCCAAGTACGCGGCGGAGCACCAAAAGAACGTGCAGCAGTGGCTGCACGAGGGCAGTTTCAAGAGCAAGCTGAGCGTGACGGAGGGCATCGACAAGGCGGCGGACGGGTTTGTGGGGATGCTGGAGGGGAAGAACTTTGGCAAGGCGGTGTTGAAGATTAAGGACTGAGCGGGGGAGGCGGGTATTCGAAGATGGAGGGCTTCGGCCAGAGGATGGAGGATGGCAACCGGCAGCATACATCAAAGGAAACGAAAGCCATCCAGGTGGGAATGCGATGAGGAGTGTATCGAAGTTGGTCGGAGGTCGGGGGTTAGGGGTCGGTGCCCGGCAGAGCAAAGAAACACGTTCGTATTGCATAAGCAAGGTACTAAAATTGAATAAAATAAAAGATAAAAAAGCTGAAATACTGTCCATACATCACCGTCGACTCATTTATTACCCCGTGGTTGCGAACCCCAGATTCTATTAGTCGGGTTGATTGCCCCGATCCCTGCAATGGATGTGCCTAGATTGTCCTTTGCTCGTGTAAGTGGCTATTGTTCTATTTAAGGAAATTGGCTCTTGCTGCCACTTTTGAATAGCTCACAGTCTCGCCCAATACTATCCACACAACTCGCAGCCCCAACGACCATGGCCCACGCATATTCCCTCTTCCCCGAGGTGCAGCCGGCGTACGTCGACGGCCGCAAAGTCGGCGAGCAGACCAAGTACCCGGGCACGCCGTACTTCCAGGGCGGGCTGAAGCCGACGCACATCGAGGGCGACGTGTTCCAGCTGGAGACGACGGGGACGATCCCGCACGACATCCGCGGGACGTTCTACCGCATCCAGCCGGACCCGCGGTTCCCGCCGGTGTTTGAGGACGACGTGCACTTTAGCGGCGACGGCGCGGTGACGGCGTTCCAGTTTGCCGACGGGCACGTCGACGCCAAGCAGCGCTACGTGCAGACGGACCGGTACCGCGCGGAGACGCAGCACCGCAAGGCGCTGTTTGGGCGGTACCGCAACCCGTACACGGACAGCGAGGCGGTGCGCGGCGTGATCCGCACCGTGTCCAACACGAACATTACCTTTTGGCGGGGCGCGATGCTGGCGTCCAAGGAGGACGGCCCGCCGTTTGCGCTGGACCCGGTGACGCTGGCGACGCTGGGCCGCTACGACTTTGAGGGCCAGGTACAGGCGCCGTGCTTCACGGCGCACCCCAAGTTCGACCCGGCGACGGGTGACATGGTGGCGTTTGCGTACGAGGCGGGCGGCGACGGGCACGACGCGTCGACGGCGCTCGTGGTGTGGACGTTTGACGCGGCGACGGGCGCCAAGACGGACGAGTCGTGGTACGAGGCGCCGTACTGCGGCATGATCCACGACGCCGCCCTCACGCCCAACTACCTGGTGCTGCCGCTGACGCCGCTCAAGGCCGACAAGGCGCGCATCGCCGCCGGCGGCAACCACTGGGCCTGGGACCCCAGCGAGGACCAGTACTACGGGCTGGCGCCGCGCAAGGGCGGCCGCCTGCAGGACATTGTGTGGCTGCGGTCCAGCAACGCCTTCCACGGGCACGTCGCGGGCGCCTACGAGAACGAGGACGGCCACGTCGTTGTGGACCTGACGGTGGCCGACGGCAACGTCTTCTTCTGGTGGCCGTCGCCCGAGGAGGCGGCCGAGGCGGCGGCGTCTGGCAAGCCGCCGCGGCGGCCGCAGCTGCAGTCCGACACGGTGCGCTGGGTGCTCGACCCAGCGCTGCCGTCCGGCTCGTACGTCCAGCCGGCGCGCCAGTACGGCACCAACGGCGAGTTCTCGCGCATCGACGACCGCTTCGTCACGAAAAAGTACCGCCATTTCTGGCAGCTGCAGATCGACCCGACGCGGCCATACGACTTTGCCAAGTGCGGCCCGCCGGCGGGCGGGCTGTTTAATGTGCTGGGCCACTACGATTGGGACTCGTTGGACGGGAGCGGTGGCAAGGCCGTCCGCGACGAGTGGTTTGCCGGGCCGACGTGCACGTTCCAGGAGCCCGTGTTTGTGCCGCGGCCCGGGTCGACGGCCGAGGGCGACGGCTACCTGCTGCTGCTGCTCAACCACCTGGACGTCCTCCGCAACGACATTCTCATCTTTGACGCCCTCCACATCGCCCAGGGCCCGCTGGCGGCCGTGCACCTGCCCATCCAGATGCGCCTGGGCCTGCACGGCAACTTTGTCGCGCAGGACGAGATTGAGCGCTGGGCCAAGCGCCGGGCGCCCGACGGCGACCTGGGGCCGGTCCAGGTGGCCACGGCACCGCTGCCCTGGCAGGTGGCTCTGCAGGAGAAGGACGCGCGCAATGGCAGCGGAACCAATGGAGCGTAGGGGGTGTCAGGCAGAGAACGGAGTCGAGGTCGGAGTAGATAGTGTCCGTCCTCCGGTGCGGCTCGAATGCCAGAGTATGGCTTTGTTTGTTTTTTGTTACGTCAAAATGTACTCTGTTCCTGTATACCGTACATACCTGCATCTTTCCGTCGCCTGCCTTGCCTCCCAACGTGCTGTTTCGTCTTGTGAGTGTCGGGTCACGGCACGACGGGCGTCGTCGGATGGACTGTGTGGACTGTGATTGCAGCAAACGACCGACGAGTGGACGCCAGCATCGCGCCTGCCCCCGCAAAAGCACGACGTGCGGGGAAGGTCCTCGGTGCTTCAGGGGTGGGAAGCGCCGCGACCCGCTAACCGCTAGTGCATCTGACTGCTGCGGCAGGAGCTCGTAGCGTGTAAGCGACAGTGGACTTCATTGTTCCTAGACAGAAACCATCCTCTCGGGACCATCACGCCGAACTGAAGTCTCTGTGTCTGCACCCGTTGCCCACGGCGTGTTATTGTTCTTTTACCACATCTGGAATAGGCAGGTTGCCCTACAGCCAAGACGGCCTGCCAGATCACTCCGCATTGTCCCCGCAAAAGGTGACCTACCGCCGGCCGCCTGTTTTCTGCAGACGTTGGCTTTGCTCGCCAGGATCCTGCGCATCATCTCCAGTCTCGTACGCCTGTATCGATGCGTGTGCGTGAGGAGCCTATTGGGTAGACTTGCCTATGCCAGCGACGAGCCATACTCGGAGGATAAATACGAGTCGCGAGGCAGACGACGCTCTACTTGTTCATTCAGCAGGAACTCCCACTCTTTCACTCACTTTGCATCACTCATCTCATTCTTTCCCATTCATATACACACCTCTCACACAATGGCCGACGAAGTCGCTCAGCTCAAGCAGACGGTCGCGGCCCTGCAGAAGCAGGTGATTACGCTGGATGGTACGTCCCCTTGGCGTTTGTCGTCGCTGTCGCTGTCGTCGCTGTCGTCGCGTCACACACTGCATATCCAGCCCTCTCTGCTGCCCACTAACACACCCAGACCAGGAACAAATCCGCCGGCTGCAGTACACCTACGGCTACTACCTGGACAAGTGCCTGTACAAGGAGGTCGCAGAGCTGTTTGCCGAGAACGAGGACACGTATGTGCAGTTCCTCGGCGGCCGCTACCTGCGCAAGGAGGGCGTCCGGCGGCTGTACCTCAAGCGCTTTGGCGGCTTCTTTGTGGGCGGCCGCAACGGCCCCGTCCACGGCTTTCTGCTCGACCACCCGCAGATGCAGGGCATCGTCGACGTCACCTACGACGCGGCCGACGGCCAGCCGCGCGCCGCGGGCCGCTTCCGCTCGCTGATGCAGGCCGGCGTGCACATCAGCCAGGCCGACCGGCACCCGCGCGGGTTCACGCAGTGGTTCGAGGGCGGCATCTACGAGAACGAGTACATCAAGGAGAAGGGCGTCTGGAAGATTTTGCACCTGCGCTACTTCCCCTTCTGGCACGGCGACGTCGAGCACGGCTGGGGCTACAAGGTGGCCGGCTTCGTGCCCTTCCCCACCAAGGTGTTCCCCGAGGACCCCCTGGGCCCCGACCAGCTCGTCGCCGCCGACCAGCGCATGCTGTGGCCCGACTGCCGCGTCGTGCCGTTCCACTACACGCACCCCATCACGGGCGAGCAGGTCAGCGACGTCGACATGCAGGCGCCGCTGTACGGCGGCGACGCCAAGGACGCGCTGCCGGCCCTGAAGCTTGTGGGGTAAGATGGGGTCGATGTGGCAAACAATGGGCGGCATGACGATGTGTATGGACGATGATGCAGCTGTACATAGTCATTAGTCATGCAATTTGACGAGTAGCAAAGATCGAAGCGTCTTGTGTGATTGGTTATATTGTCGTGATTTGTGTGCTTGAAAGCATGGGGTGAACAGAGAGAGCATTAGGACCCTCATGAATACACACCGTGACTACTCATGATTTACGTTGTCTGTATGCATATCGTTCATTGAGTTGCAAAGTCCGTTCACTCGGCTGTATTCTATATACATATTCATTACCAGCATGATATTTTCCGCAACTCACAACTCCAACGGCAGTTTAAACAGCTTGATGGCGTTGGTGCGGCCAATGGCCTCCTTGTCCGCGTCCGGCAGGTCCACGCTCTTCCACCAGTCCTGGGCCACCTTGACGGAGTCGTAGGGGTAGTCGATGGCGTAGAGGCAGCGGTCGACGCCCAGCTCGCCGACGCAGAACTTGAGCCCCTGCGTGGAGAAGTTGCCCGACGTCGTGATGGACACGTTGTGCGTAAAGTAGTAGCGGTAGTCTTCCTTGGAAGGCCGGCTCTGCTTCTTGACGGGCTTGTTGTACCAGTGGTCGGCGCGCACCAGATTAAAGGGGATGCCCTCGCCGAGGTGGCCGGCGACGACCTGCACGCGCGGGAAGCGGTCGAAGACGCCGCTCGAGCAGAGCGCGTAGAGGTGGAAGCTGAGGTCCAGGTGGAACTGCACGCAGGCGCCCAGTAGGTGCGTGCGGCCGGCGTACTTGCCGTGCGGCGCCGCGAGGTCGCGGCCGGTGGCGTAGCGCGGGTGCAGGTAGACGGGGACGTCGAGGTCCTGCACGGCGGCCCAGAAGACGTCGTACGCGGGCTCGTCGTAGTACCGGCGGCCGTCCAGGTTCGAGTCGAGGTCCGACTCGCTCGACGCGGCAACGCTCTGAAAGTCGTTGAGGATGGCGCCAAAGGCCCCCAGCTCGCGCACGGCCCGCGTCAGCTCTGCGGCCGCGTCGGCCGGCGAGTGCATCGACAGGCTGGCCAGGGCGCCGAACCGCGTGGGCGCTTTGCGGGCCTCGGCCGCCAGCCAGTCGTTGGCCTCGACGGCCAGTTTCTGCGCCTCGACGGGGTCGACCACGCCCTGGGGCCCGGGCGACGTGAGCGACAGCAGCATGTACTCGACGCCCTCGGCGTCCATGTGGGCCAGTCGGGCCTCGTGGATGTCCAGCAGCGCCGCCGTCAGCGGGTGCTTGACGCTGGCGACGTCGGTGCCGGTGCCGCGGCCGTACGCCGGAGCGAAGAGGGTGGCATCACGGGCGTTCCGGGCGATGCCCGTGGGGTCCAAGACGGCCTCTTCAATAGCCACTGTGCCGCGCATGGTGGAACAACACAGGAAGTCTATGAACTCGTGACGCAGTTGAATCAGACGATTAAGAAAACGACTTGTAATGGTTTTTGAAATTGAAATTGATTTGAAATTGATTTGAATTTGATTTGAATTTGACTTGATTTTGCCTCTAATTTTTGATCATGACTTTTGAAATGATAGCGGCATCCGCATCGCCTTGTCGCCAGTGCACTACCATCCTCCGACTTCTCGAGCACTACCCCAACTTTCGGTCGAGCTTGGCGCCGATTTGCCATCTCCTCATTTTGATACTGCCGTTGTTCTGACTGGGGTAGAGTGTGCTCGCTTTACCCCGTCTTTTCCATTCGTCTCCTCCTTTCCGTCTTTCCCGTCGTTCCGTTCCCCTCACTTGGTGTCGTGGACTGTCGTATGTCGTCGGCTCGATACTTCCGACGATTGGTAAGTACGTCGTATTTCACCGTGGAACAACAATGTACCAGAATGTCAGGGTTCCTCACAGCATCAATGCGTCGGCTGGCCAGGAAGATTGACGCCGACTGTCGATGCCCGCGATGTCCGTGGTTTCCATATTGGCGACAGTTCGAGTCCGTCGACCTTGATTCTACACGTCGACTTAGACTGCTGACGGTCTGCATGGACACGTTCCAGACGTCGTCTTATGTGCGTCAGCACTAACGTAGGCTGCATAAATACGCAGTCGTGTGATATGTCGTACAGTTTTAAAAGTAGCAAAAATCGTTGTACTACCGAAATCTATCGACTCCCTCCTACAGCTTCGCCACCTTGATAATGACACTCTTGGTCTCCAAAAAGTTGTCGAGGCTGTGCAGCCAGCCCTCGCGGCCCTGGCCAGACATCTTGTAGCCGCCAAAGGGCAGGTCGCGGGCGGTGGCCGGGCTGGTGCAGTTGACGCCGACGTAGCCGCTCTCGAGCGCCTTGGCGATGCGCAGGGCGCGGTCAATGTACTTTGTGTAGACGCTGGCGTAGAGGCCGTACTCGGTGTCGTTGGCGCGCGCGACGGCCTCGTCCTCGGTCGCAAACGTGTTGATGAGCACGACGGGGCCAAAGACCTCCTCCTTCATGATGCGCGCCGCGTCGGGCGTGTCGACGAAGACGGTCGGCTCGACGAAGAAGCCGCCCATCGTGTCGAGCGTGCCCTTGCCGCCGAGCGCGAGGCGGCCGCCCTCGGTCTTGCCCTCCTCGATGTAGGCCAGCACGGACTTGTACTGCACCTCGTCGGCCTGGGGCCCGTGGTTGACGGCCTTGTCGAGCGGGTTGCCGGCGGTGACGGCCTGGAAGCGGCGGGCAAAGGCCTCCTGGAAGGCGGGCGCGGCGGCGGCCTCGACGTAGATGCGCGAGTTGGCCATGCAGACCTGGCCCGAGTTCCACTGGATGCTGTTGACCGTCTCCTCGACGGCCTTGTCCATGTCGGCGTCGGCAAAGACGAGCGCGGGCGACTTGCCGCCGAGCTCGAGCGTGACCTTTTTGAGGTTGCTCTGCGCGGCCATTTCCTGGATCAGGCGGCCGGTGCGGCCGCTGCCCGTAAACGACAGCGCGCGCACGTCCATGTGCCGCGCCAGCACGGCGCCGCTCGGCAGGCCGTGGCCCGACAGGATGTTGAAGACGCCCGGCGGGAAGCCCGCCTCGACGACCAGCGCCGCCACGCGCGCCGACGTCAGCGGCGCCTTCTCGCTCGACTTGAGCACGACCGTGTTGCCGGCAATCAGCGCGGGCGCCGCCTTGCTCGACAGAAACAGCAGCGGCACGTTCCACGGGATGATGGCCGCCACGACGCCCATGGGCTGCCGCAGCGTCAGCGTCACGTAGCCGGGCGTGTTGAGGCTCGACTGGCCCTGGATGTGCGGCCACGCCTCGGCGTAGTGCTCAAAGTTGCCCGCCGCCGCAAACGCGTCAAAGTACCCCGCGACCGGCCGGCCCATGGACACGGCCTCGAGCTCGGCCAGCTCGCTCGAGTGCTGGCGCAGCAGCGCCGCCAGCTTGCGGAAGGGCGCCGCGCGGGCCGACGGGTCCAGGGCCGACCACGCAGGGAACGCAGCCTTGGCAGCGGCGACGGCGGCGTTGGCATCCTGCTCGCTGGCCTCGGGCACGTCGGCGACCTTGTCGCGCGTCGCCGGGTTGTAGAGCGGGAACGTGTTCTTGTCGGAGGCTTCGACGAGCTGGGCAGAGGGGGAGGGCATGTGTGTTAGTAGACGTCCAGTGAAGCGAGGTTGAGAGGCATGGGACTATAAGTATATTTACCTCTCCGTTGATGAGCAGTTTGGGCGAGATGGAGACAACCATGATGGCGGTGTGTAAATAAAGAACAATGCGTTGCACGACAAATGATGCAAGGATAGAAAGATAGATGTAGACGACGATCTGATGGACGCAGGACAGAGTCTCGGCAAGGAGGACTAATATAGAACACGGAATGCTCCCCTCGTTTGCAGAGCAAGTAGAATAAATGGACACGACGTATGAGGACAGAATACACTAGACGGATGGAGTAGGTCGCAGACAGATACAAAGACACATAGACACACAAGCACATAGACATAGACACACAGACAGCTTGGCACAGACACACAGACGACGCTGCAGCCCATGCTCCGCATCTTCCCGCTCTTCAGCCACTGCAGAACTGCATCGGCATGATGTCGGGGCTCCATGCAGAAAACACTACGGTGAAGGAACATTGTAACGAAGAATAAAAGACGGGGCTAAAAGAGGGAAAGGAGGGAAGGGCTTGCAGAATGGGGTAGACTGACAAATGTGGACTGTACGGCAGTGCCAAGTGCCTGTGAGTAGTGTCAAAGGAGCGGAGAGGACCAACGAGGGCGAAAGGAGCATATCTCCGCATTTCAGAACCAAAAAAGAACCACGCACCCGGTGTTTATCCACCCGCGCCGTCGGCAGAAGAGATTCTCCGCAGAGAGATCCTTGCGATGATGTAAAGCCGTTTCCTGGCATTCAGTAGTTTCACTTTGGTTAAATAAACCATGTTGTGCAAAATACGTTAAAAAAGGAAAATAAAAACCCGAGAAAAAATCAGCGTTGAAAACAAATCAACAAAAGCTTTTCCATAAGTGCAATAGAAATAAAATACATGAATCAGACGTCCGTCTTCCAGTAAGTACGTGGACGTTTGCGTTTGTTCAAAGAGTCTAACCAAGCCGACCTGCGCCTCTCCTCGCACAGCTTCCCATAGATTGCCTGTTCGTCTGCTGACATTGCTTCCCACTTTTCACTTGCGTAGTTGATGTCTCCCTTGGGCCAGGCTGGGCCTCTTCCGAGTCCTGGACAGACTCGTGGAAGATGTTAAAGTCTCGCTTCGGCGAATACCCCGACGGCCAAGCAGGAGGCGTCTCGTGGAATGGCGGTGGCTCACGACCCTCGGCGAGGTCTTGCTTGCGGGCCTCCTCCTCGTTGGACGTCCACTCGTTGATGGCCGCCACATACTGGTCGTGGGGGATCGTTTGCATGTAGACAGGTTGTGCCATTTGATGTGGAATGATTGGGCTCCAGTTCGACCAAGGCGGCAGTTGCGTGGCCGCGGGATTCAACAGTTTACTTTTGCTGTTCGGTGTGCCAACGAGTCTGCCACCACCATGCGACAGACGTAGGCCAAAGGGGTTGGGCACGAGCTGGAGACGGGGCGCCGGCGGATACGTGCGAGCGCGCTGTCGAGTGGATTCCTCGTGTTGTTCGCTTGGGCCCAGCTCGAGGTCGGGCGACGACTTGAAATGCAGAGCAAAACCGCGCATCGAGGCCACAATGTTCGCATATGCCTCGCCCCAGTCGTTGTCGCCCTTGATTCTCAAGAGCTCGTCCGCCATCTCATCAATCACCCGGTAAACTTGGTTCGGCCCAGGAATGGGAAGAGGTCCGTCCGGGTCGGATCGTCCGGGAGCGGGAATTGCTGCACACGAGGATAGACAGGGACATAAGAGACGGGCCCACCAGGTTCAGAGTCAAAAGGTCGTCTCGGCGGGTCGGCATTCTGTTGATGTTGAGGCTCGTTTTGACTCGAGTTGACAGAGCTAGCGGCAGCTCCTTGGCCACCGAAACCCCCGAAGCCACCGAAAGCACTCAGCCCACCAAGACTAGCAGGTGCTAAAGCAACCGGCGGGATTTGTGCTGGTGGAGGTGGAGGCGGAGGTGGAGGCGGAATGCTTGCCGGCTGTCCTGGATGTGATGATTCACGGAGTTGAGAGGATGCCACCGTCGGCCCAACTGTTGGAATAGGCTCAAATTGCTGACCGGAGTTCTGTAGCATTGTCTCCCCTGACTCGTTCATCTTGCTGTCCACATAATGTTTTATGATGGCGTCGAGACTCTGCAAGGACAGACCTCCGCCCTGAGTGTCAATTTGTAGGCCTCACTGTTGCCGGGAACGGCCATCGCGTCAGCATGGGCCATCCTCTGTGCTCTGTATCCCGCCGCCGGCTCGGCTTGATGGAAATTGTTTGCGAAAAGCTGCATCGCTCGAGGCGACAAAGAATCAGAACCATCGCGCTCGAATTTTGCCACAAGCTCGGCCGGTGTGCTCATCGGGACGTCCATGTCCTTGGTCGCGGCACGGATGCGTTCCTCGACAACACCAGGCGATGGCCAGCCGATCATTTCGTAGCGCTGGGCCTGGGTCAACAAGTGCTTTGCGCCAATCAGGGCGCGGCTGTAAATGTCGCCGCGAGCCAAAATCATAGTGCAGTCGCTGCTCGTCAACGAGTCGGGATCGTTGAGAGCTCAGTCGTACACCTCCTGCGGGATGGAATGTGCGACAGGATTTCCGGTGCGTAGCGATTCGAGTCGCAGCCGTTCGCGGACTTGGATCTCTTCCCGGATGGAATTGGCCAGGCAGGCATCGGCGTCCTTCCTTTCCCGCAGCTCCTCAACTGTGGTCAAGTAACCGTCGTCGTCACGGACGTATTCTGTCGCATTCGCATCTTCGCTGTCAGCCCCACCGCTTGCGCCTGCGCCTGGTTGTTCCATGCTGCGTTGTGTCCGGGGACAGCGTGTTCGAGAAGTTATGTGAAAAGGAACGGCAAAACATTCATAAAAAGAAGGGCGGGGTGAGGTCGGACCTAGGCAGCATGTCAGAATAACGTGACCAAACACGGAACTAGTCCAAAGTCAAGAGTACAAGAGAGAGACGTCGAGAGAAAAGAGCTGTATTTATATACGGTCGTACATTCGTAAGAGCGGCTGTGAGGGCGGGGCCAATCAGCAACGAACTGTGGCCCCATATTTCCCGATTGGGACGCCACAATAGTGTGTTCTCCTTTACATATTAAAGCGAGAAAGCGTAGTTGTGGCCGCCGCTTTTCGCTGGCGCGGGCCGCTGCTTTTGGCGGCCTTTGCAGTGAGGGGTTTTGTCCTTTTGAAGTACTTTGTACTTGTAGTTGTAATCCTTTCCCGTCTTTATAGTAGCGTATCCCGTTAATGTTGAATTATTTATTAAGTTTTAAACGACTAAGGGTATTAGTATAGACTAGGTTGTCCTACCTTAAAGATAATATAAAGAGAGTGTTCGGTGTTTTAAAATAAAGATAATTTATTATTTATTATAGGTTTATTATAGTAAACGGGAAGGTAGAAGAAGAGTAAAAGGTTGTGTAAATAAAAGTCCGTATATTTTAAGGTTTTACTACTCCGGTTTAAAAGTAGTAAGTTATAAGTCGTTTATCGTCTCTTTTTTTTAAAAAAAAAACTTTTTTATTTAACTTTTTTTTATCTTTTTTATTTTTCTCCCTTTTACTTTATTCTTTTTTATCTTTTCTTTATTCTTTTATCGTATTTATTTTATTTTAAAGGAACTATTCTTTCTTATATATTAATTATCGTTTTTTTAAATGTACTTTTAATTAAAAGTTTAAAGAAAAAAAAATAAAAAAGGGGTAAAGTTAAAAGTAAACTAATTTAACTTAACTTAATTATCACGCGTAAACTCCCTTTACGGGAGTCTAACATCACGCCAAGTCACGTACCGTTTAACTAAACTATATAACGACTATATTAAACCTTTTCTCCGACCTCAAGTTTATATAAATAGTTTACAGAATCAACAATTATTTATTATATATTATATTATACTATTATTTAAGACTTTATTACGTTTAAACGTAGTACGTTACTAACTTCGAGATACTAAGTAACGGAATAAGAAATAAAGTCTTATATATATTACGATTTAAAATACCTTATAATAGTATAGGTCTTAAATAATAGTATAATATAATATATAATGAATAATTGTTAATTCTATAAACTATCTATATAAATTTAAGGTCGGGGAAATGGTTTAATATAACCGTTATATAACTTAGTTAAACGGTACGTGACTTAACGTAATACTAGACTCTCGTAAAGGGAGTTTATACGTAATATTTATTAAACGACGACGAAAATTAATTTTCGTCTTTTATTAGTAAATACCGTAATATATTACTTAATAAATAAAAAACTTTATAAAAAATAAACGGTAATAACGTATAAAAGAACGGTAACTTATATTAAATCCGTTAAAAAAATAATATTAAAAATAAAAAAATAAATAAAAAAATAAATAATAATACGGTTTAAATATTATTAATATTTATTTTTATAAACGTTAAGTCTTAAAATACTAACGTTAGTATAATAGTACGACACCGTAATAACGTCGTCGTAAACGGTCCGGTTTAACCGAGACACGACGAAGAACGGGGTCGGGTAAACGTAACGACGGGTTAAACTTAAAAACGTGTTAATAAAAACGAACGGGTAGTATTTTAAAGGTTTTACCGAGATTAAAAGTATATTAAACGGTTTAAAAAAACGGTTATATATTATATAAACCGATTATTAAATTAACTTATTACGTATTATATTAATAGATTTATAAATACTATTACTCGAGTTAAAGTAGTTAATAATATACTTTAATAGTTATTTAAAATATTTTAAATCTTAATTACTTTATTTTATAAGATTTACACCGTATTACGGACTCCCGTAACGTCTTTAATTATTTTTTATAAGACCGTAATATTATCGAGTATTTAATTTAATAAGGTTTATAAAGTTTATTAAATTAATATTAATATATTAATAAGTACCGTTCTCGTTTTTACTTAAAAAGTATTAATTTACTTTTAAATTACCGTATTAATAAACGTTAACGACTTTTAATTTAAAACGGTAGTTTTTTAAAACTTATTTAACGACGTAAAAGACGGGTTTCTTTTAACGTCGAACGTCGTTAAAAAGTATCGAAAGTTCGTATTAAATAAACTCGTAAGTATAAAAAATAGATAAAAAAACGATTCGTTAAAGATTTTAATAACGATTATTATTATATAAAAAGACGGGTTTACCGTTTTTTTATTATTAATTATAACTTTATTTTTATATACGGAAATATATTTATAATAAGTACGTTAAATAAAAGTAAATTAAAAAACCGGTCGATTATTTTTAATAACTTTTATAATATATTATAAAACCGTAATAATATTAAAAAACTTTAAAAAAAGAAAGGTTACTTTAATACGTATAAATATCTCGTTTTTATACGACGTATAATATTACCCGTTACTTATCGTATTAATTATATTAAATAACTTAAACCGTAATATAACGTTCGTAAGTAATTTTCTTTTATCGATTAAAAATTTCTTTATAATTAAACGGACCGTTATACGACTTTAAAGAGTAGTCGGGGTTTATTAAATCTAGTTAAGAATTAAATTTAACCGGTTACTATTCGATTATAAGTCTTTAAAAAAGAAGAGATAAAAACGGTAGAAGTTATAAAAGGCCGTCGTAAAGTATACCTTTTTTAACTTACGTTTAATAAGTATAACTAGTATAATAACCTTTGTAGTAGTTTAACCTTAATTATCGGGTTTTTCGTTATAATTATCGTAATTTATATCGATCTCGTTATTATCGTCGTTATTTTTATAACCCGTATTATCGTCTTTATTATTATTACCGATATTTTAACCGTCGTCGACGTTATTATCGTTATTATTTATAAATTTTATATTAAAGTTATTTTAAATAATTATAATTAAGTTAATAACTATTATAAGTGATTATAAAATAAGTTTTTATAAGTGATTATAAAATAGGTCTTTATAATAGATTAGTTAATAAAAAGTATTAGTTTCGAGGGCGAAGGTAAGTGTGTATTATAATAAAGACTAATTCTTACCCCTTCTTCCCGGTAGGAAGAAGGGAGTCCTTTTATTTAAGGAGAAAGGCTTTTCACTAGTGTGGCGTTAACGTGTGGTTAGGGACCAACTACACCGCGCCTTATTATATAAACCTAGTCACTTGATTCGTAGCCTTCGGTCACGAATCGGTTATAATAATAACGACTTTATTAACGATTATAAAAACGGTTTAAACGATATTAATAGTAAATACGACGACCGTTATTTTATTTTAACTAACGTTTTAATCGGTATTATCGTTTTAAAAGGTTATAGTAATAAATAAAGATATAAAGTTTAAAAAGAGTTTTAGTTTATTATTTTATAAAGTAAAAAAAGGACTTTTATATATTATATTTTAATAAAAGAGAGAGTGTAGTAAAAAGTACGGGATATTATAATATTTATAAACAACGTAGTAATTATATTTTATTTAAAAAGGTACGATAATAAATATACGTTTTTAATAAAAAGGTATACGTATTTAAAAGATTATAAAGTATATAACGGTAAATAAAAGTTATAATATAAAAGTAAATAAAAAGAATATTTAATAAATAATTTAAAAAGGATTATTTAAAATATAATAATATAAATTTAAATATACGTAAAAAAGGTAAATAAAAGAATAAAAAATACGGTAAAAGAGTAAATAAAGTATTAAAACGAGTTTTATTATATTAAATAACCGTATTATAATTATTTATAACGATACTAGGTAGTATAAGTCCGTTTATTTATCGGGACAATATAAAGTAAAAGTAAATATATAAAGTAAACAGTAATAAATTACGTATAAACGGTACCGAAATACTATTATTCTTTATATAATAGTTATTAATATCTTTATAACGACTTTCGAAACGGTTTAAAAAACGGTGGTTTATTTTTAAAGGTTACCGTTTTAAACGGTTTTCTTTATTAACGTTTAAGTTATAAAAGTATTATAATAGTATTCCTTTACTCGTTCGATAAATTATCGGTATTAATAACGTAATTACTTATATTTTATACGTTTTATAAATATACCGTAATATTAAAGTGTATTACGTTATAATCGTTTATTAATTCGTTAACTCCGTTAAAAAGTAACTCTCGGTTAATAAACTAGTCGTTATAATATAAGTAGTTTAATTATTTAACTAAGTAGTTTATTATAAAAGTCCGACGAGTATAACGGAGTCGATATACGATAATTCGTTCGACTATATAACGGTTATTCTCGTTATTTATACCGGGTACGTTATTTTACGTTATAAAACTTAATAACGGTATTATACGTTTAAAAGGATCCGGTTTAGTAAAGGTTTTATATAAGTATACTACGTTAAGTATAAAGTAGATATTTTATACGGTCGGGATATCGAGTCGGTATACTTACTTCCCGATACGTTTAAAGATTTAAAAAAGTTTAATGTATTATTAATTAAATTTTAATTTTAACCTTTTTAATAAGTAGTAATTATAATATAAACGGATAAAAACTTTATTACCGACTATATATTTTATTAAACGGTGTTTTTTATTATATTAAAACTTAGTTTATATATTTACGATATTAATAAGGTTTATAATATTCTTTTAATAAATACAACGTTAAATCGATGTCGTTTTAATAATCCGTTTATTCGTTTTTATAAATACTATTAAATTAATAAAACTAAACGGATAAAAACTAAGTATAAACTCGTTTAACGAGTAATTAATAATTAATAACTTTATATTATTTAATTAAAATTATAATACCGGAATAATATTTATTTATAAAGTATCGAGACTCTCGGTATAATAAAA